ATATAAAAATATATATACACACACACTTTATATATACTGTAAATGTGAACAATTTTGGTAAATGTGTACTCTTACTGCGCAGTACAGCAAGACAGACTGCGCAAGTGCAAAAACACCGATGCATCTCCCATCCAACTTGGACCAAACAGGTCAAGAGGCAAAACGACAGATCAGCTCTCACCCAAATGGCTTTTATCAAGGCTTTTACCGCTCGTTTAGTAAGGTTTGCAAAAAGGGAGAGTACAAATTACAGCAACAGTGGCTGTCACTACATGAACAAAGGAAAGGATTGCATGGTCTTCAAATAAAACAACAACAATCTTCATTGCTGTAGCTAAAGGCTCCCCACGCTAATGCTAGGCATATCCCAAAACATTCGAGGTAGCAATCGGTTGTTTTCTGATTCTATTTATAAGGGAGAGGAGGAAGCACACTACCTAAGCGTGAGGGAAAAGAAGAAAAACTTTCCAAAACTTTCAAAAGCAGAAACTTTGTCTTCAGCGATAAAGCAGAAGAGGTGGCTTCTCAGCTCCGGGAGTATTCAGCAGGTCATCACGTCAGACTTCAGCGAGGTGAGCGAAAGACAGAACAGGTATGCACTTGGATTCATCCCCAGGTTTCACACTTCTGCGTTCCTTTCTCAATAATCACTACTATTATCGGTGAACTTAAGAGTTGCAGAAGGATTTGGGGAATACGCTCTCCTACATCCAAAAGGATGAGGCCAACCACGCTGCTAATGCTGATCCCTCCACACCCATCCCCACAGGAGCCAGCAATGTGATCTCTACCATAGGAATCAAGTACTAAAAAAAAAAAAAAATAGAGAATCATAGCGTTCAATTTTGTCTTCCTTAAATCTCTTCCTGGATCAAGCCCTTAGCTGAAGGCAGCGCTGACCTTACTCCCCATGCCACTTGGTGAGCTTTGCTTATATCTCAAGACGTGTCTGAAAGCTAGTCAAAAGACAATATTGACATAGTTCACATACTCTTTACTGACACTCCCGTAGTTATTTCCTATCCTTCAGAACAGAGAATAAGTCCACCTTATCAGATGCTCTTTAAGAACTACTTGTTAGATAAAGTAACGAAAGTTTTCAGTTCAGCATTTAATAAAATGCTTTCTTCTGCTGCTAATAGGTGGGAAATCTACTGAAAGCGAGAATTGGTCAATGACAAGGGGTATTAACAGCCAAAACATCAGAAGTTATATGAACCTTATGCAACTGAGCATTGCTATTACATTAAATAATTCAGTCTAAAATAGACATTTTGAGGGCTCATAAAACCTTTATCTATGATATTCTATTATGGATTCTTTAACCAGAGGAATCTGAAATTTTTTTGCAAGGTTTAGACTAAACTGACTCCCAACTTTATTTTCCTCTCCGCGCCTGTAATTTATATACACACATCAGGTTAAAGTAAAAAAAAAGAAAAAAAGGGAAAAAAAATTAAGTACTGAGTACACACACACACAACTCTTACCTTAGCAAAGACTTCGTCTGCATGCCTTTATAATATCCGCATGCAAAAAAGGGGTTTGCTCTAGACTCAAAATAGTCAAAAAAGCACAGGGTTGCTGGATGTCGTCACTCATTAACCCTAGATTCTTGGTTCTGCTCTATGTGAACGTGGATGTTCACCGGTTCTTTCATGTACCGCCTTTTCTTTTCTTTTTGGCATTCCAGAAACATTACAGGCACAAGTGGCCTAAGTAACTTTTATACAGAACTACATTAAAACCCGTTAGCCAACTTCTTGAACTTTCTGATGCTTTCTATCAGATCACATAGAGGAATTCTCCTAGTGTTACAGAGCACAGCAAAGAGACTGACCACCTTTGTAGTTTTGGGAAAAAGGATATCTCTGATTCTCCGAGTCCTCCGTTAGCAGCTTGAGGTCCAGGGTGCAGCTTTGGATTAGCTCATCCAGTTTTTTCTCTTCCTGAGTCAGTTCAGTCACCTCCTTGGTGAGGCCTTGACGCTGTGCCAGCATGCCACCGTCCTCTGACAGACTGCAGCCCCTACAGACACAAAGACGGAAGACACCCTTTTAGCATTTCTAAAACTTGACACACTGCTACGGGAAAGGGAAAAGGCAGGGTTTTACACTGCAGATCAAGTTCTTAGCCCTTTCTCCCTAAACTTGCCAATAGCAAGTCAACGTAAACTACGCTTTCCAGAAAAAGCATCTTTTTATCATGACAACATATTTTGGTACTGCCACCAAGATGGAAAAATCAAGTATTTCTAAACACTTCAAAAATCTTGCTTCTAGATTCCCTCTCCTCTAACCCTACCTTGAAAAAGACCGAGAAAGGCAGTAGGTAGAGATGTACACCTAAAAACTTACTCCACTTGCAGAACCAAATGAGTTAATTCAGTATTCAGACAAAACGTTGGTTTCTAATTTCCCTGACAAATGCTATTTATAGGCTGAAAACCTGTCTTAACAGAAGAAGAATGTTTCATCCTGATGGAAGGCGTTTTGGGTGATTGCTTGGAGCAAAGTGTTAGAATGGAAGGTGGGAGAAGAAAAACACTGCTGCACTGTGACGGTGAAATCAGCCAGCAGGAA